GTCATTATGATGCTAAGTGGTTATTTTGCCCACTAGTTGATGCAGTTTCTTCATAGTGTTGACGGTCTTTACAATTTGATATGTTTTTGTAGTGGCTGGTACCAGTTGTTCCTTTCCATGTTTAGTGCTTCCTTCAGGAGGTCTTGTAAGGCAGGCCTGATGATGACAGAATCTCTCAGTATTTACTTGTCTGTAAAGGATTTTATTTCTCCTTTGCTTATGAAGCTTAGTTTGGCTGGAGATGAAATTCTGGGTTGAAAATTCTTTTAAGATGTTGAATATTGGCCCCCACACTCAAACTGCTAGGCTCAGGTAGTCCTATTGTCTTGGCCTCTTCAAGTGCTAGGTTTATAAACATGGGTCAGTCACTGTGATTGGCTCAATCTGAACTATTTTTCAAGTGACACAGCCATCATCATCTGGTATTAATTGATCACCTACCAGGATGAAGGAAGGTGTGCTTTATGCAAATGTGTATTTAACTGTAAAATCTTTTATACAACCTATTTATGAGGTAATAGGTTCCACAATTGAAATAATGGATTAAAAATAATGATGTAAATTATGTGGTAAAAGAATTCCTGGAAACTGATATGATATATTTGACCCTGAGAAGAAAAGACCTTGAAATTTCTAGCTTGAATAATTGGATACATTGTGAGAATATTAATAAAAATAGTAATATCAGGGGATGATCCAAGGTGGCCGAATAGGAACAGCTCTGGAGTGCAGCTCCCAGTAAGAATGCAGAGGGTAAGCGATGACTGCATTTCCAAACGAGGTTTTACTACCTACAGACCAGGAGATTCCCGGGCAGAAAAGTGCCACAAGTTTCCAGCTCTGCTGTGTGCCTGTGAATCTCTGCACAAAAACTCACACAAATCTGGACAGCCGTTTCAACTAACATGGAACACCTGGGAGACAGAGTCACTTATTCAACTGAAAAGAAGGGGGATGAAACAGAGAGCCAGGTAATCTGGCTTGGCAGGTCCCACCCCCACAAAGACCAGCAATCTGAAACACTCTGGATTGAGAGTCTCACAGCAAGCACAGCTGGATCCAGGATGATCCAGCTCTATGGGGGAAGGGCATCCACCCAAGGCAGTCCGCCATTACTGAGACAGTTCTAACTATACCGCTATAAACAAAACTGCAAGGAAGTTCACACAGCAGCTGGGCAGAACTCACAGCAGCTCAGCAACATCTCTGCTGGCAGACTGTGATTAGGCTACCTCCTCACTGGTCAGGGCATCTCTGAAAAAAGGCAGCAGCACATCAGGAACTTATAAATAAAGCCTACCTTTCCAGGACAGAGTACCTGGGAGAAAAGTTGGTTATAAGTTCCATTGCAGCTGACTTAAACATACCTTCCCAGCAGCTCTGAATGGAACAATGGAGCTCATAGCTCAGCACTTGAGCTTCTGTAAGGGACAGACTGTCTCCTCAAGCAGCTCCCCAACCCCTGTATATCCAAAGAGACACCTCATAAAGGAGAACTCAGCCTGACATCTGGCAGGTACCCTTCTGGGACAAAGATAGCAGAAGAAGAAACTGGCAGCAGCCCTTACTGTTCTGCAGCCGCCACAGGTGATCCCCATGCAAGCGGGGTCTGGAGTGGACCTCCAGCAGTCCTACAGCAGAGGGGCCTCACTGTTAGAAGGAAAACTAAAAAATAGAAAGAAATAACTTCATCATCAACAAAAAGGACATCCACTCAGAGACTCCATCTGAGAGTCACCAACTACAAAGACCACAGGTAGATAAATCCACAAAGATGGGAAGAAACCAGCACAGAAAGGCTGAAAACACCCAAAACCAAAATGTCTCTCCTCTTCCAAGGGATTACAACTCCTCACCAGCAAGGGAACAAGGCTGGATGGAGAATGAGTCTGATGAATTGACAGAAACAAGCTTTAGAAAGTGGCTAATAACAAACTTCTCTAAACTAAAAGAACATGTTCTAACCCAATGCAAGGAGACTAAGAACCTTGAAAAAAGGTTTGATGAAATGCTAATGAGAATAAACAGCTCAGAGAAGAATATAAATGAATTGATGGAGCTGAAAACATAACACGAGAACTTTGCAAAGCATACACAAGTTTCAGTAGCTGAATTGACCAAGCAGAAGAAAGGATATCAAAGATTGAAGATCAGTTCAGTGAAATAAAACAAGAAGGCAAGATTAGAGAAAAAAGAATGAAAAGAAATGAACAAAGCCTCCAAGAAATATGGGATTATGTGAAAAGACCTAATCTATGTTTGATAGGTGTACCTGAATGTGATGGAGAGAATGAATCCAAGCTGGAAAACACTATTCAGGATATTATCCAGGAAAACTTCCCCCCAACCTAGCAAGGCAGGCCAATATTCAAGTCCAGGAAATACAGAGAACACCACAAAGATATTCCTCAAGAAGAGCAACCCCAAGGCACATAATCATCAGATTCACCAGGGTTGAAATGAAGGAGAAAATCCTAAGGGCAGCCAGAGAGAAAGGTTGGGTTACCCACAAAGAGAAGCCCATCAGACTCAGCAGATCTCTCTGCAGAAACCCTACAGGCCAGAAGAGAGTGGGGGCCAGTATTCAACATCCTTAAAGAACTTTCAACCTAGAATTTCATATCCAGCCAAACTAAGCTTCATAAGCAAAGGAGAAATAAAATTCTCTACAAACAAGCAATTACTCAGAGATTTCATCACCAGCAGGCCTGCCTTACAAGAGCGCCTGAAAGAAGCACTAAACATAGAAAGGAACAACCAGTACCAGCCACTCCAAAAACATACCAAATGGTAAAGAGCATTGGCACAATAAAGAAACTGTATCAACTAATGGGCTAATATCTAGAATCTACAAAGAACTCAAACAGATTTATAAGAAAAGAACAAACAATCCCATACAAAAGTGGGCAAAGTATATGAATAGACACTTTTCAAAAGAAGACCTATATGAGGCCAACAAACATATTAAAAAATGCTCATCACTGGACATTAGAGATATGCAAATCAAAACCACACTGAGATACCATCTCAGGCCAGTTAGAATGGCAATCATTAAAAAATATGGAGACAACAGACGCTGGAGAGGGTGTGGAGAGATACGAACACTTTTACACTGTTGGGAGAGTGTAAATTAGTTCAACCATTGTGGAAGACAGTGTGGCGATTCCTGAAGAACCTAGAAATAGAAATTCCATTTGACCCATCAATCCCATTACTGAGTATATATCCAAAGGATTATAAATCGTTCTATTATAAGGACACATGTACACGTATGTTCATTGCAGCACTGTTTACAATAGCAAGACTTGGAAACAACCCAAATGCCCATTGATAACAGACTGGACAGGTAAAATGTGGCACATCTACACCATGGAATACTATGCAGCCATAAAATATGATGAGTGTGTGTCCTTTGTAGGGACATGGATTAATCTAGAAACCATCATTCTCAGCAAACTGACACAAGAATAGAAAATCAAACACCGCATGTTCTCACTTATAGGCGGGTGTGAACAATGAGAACACATGAACGCAGGGAGGGGAACATCACTCACTGGGGTCTGTTGCGGGGGGCTAGGGGAGGGACAGTCAGGGGTAGGGAGGTTGGGAAGGGATAAAATGGGGAGAAATGCCAGATAAAGGTGAGGGAGATGGAGGCAGCAAACCTCATTGCCATGTATTCTATGCAGTAGTCCTTCATGTTCTGCACATGTACCCCAGAACCTAAAGTGCAATAAAATATATTTTTTAAAAACACTGACATCAGGAAAATGGGAAAATTCTGGAGGAATAATAATGAGGTTTGTTTCAGGTAGCAGTTCTCAAGGCGGGGATGGGACAGGGACATATTAAAATGTGAAGATGATGAAGTGTTCATATTAGAAAATTGAAAAGTCCTGTTTTCAGTGAACTGTGTTTGAGATTTTGGTGGAATAGTAAGATAGATGTGACTAGTGGTAAAGTGACAGTGCAGACTGTTACTGTCTCTGAGCCCAGTCATGCTGGACTCTGAATTAGGTGCCTGGATACGTTGTCTTACAAGCATCAGCATAGAGCTGACAGTTCCTGACCTCAAAAGGTTTAGGCAACTTGTATTTAAACCTGAGTCTTTTATGCCAGAACCCTCCTTTTTTATTCCTGGCTGCTTGGGAATATTAGAATAATATGCAAACTGTGAATTTGTTTATAGAAGTAACTGGCTTATATGTGATTTTAACTTTACCCCTACTTTATCACACAAAAGTAGTTACCTTTTTAAAAAAAACCTATATGACATGACAGATTTCCCTTCTAGCTTAAGCTGCTGACAACACTGTACTTAGGAATAGATTTAAGACTTTCAGATGTCTGTTAATTTGCCCTATGCTTTTAAACTGTAACAGTTTAGAGGAAACAAAATATCAAAGGGCATTACTTTAAATATTGCTCCTAATTCTGATGACTGACTTAAATTCCTTTTATGTAATCCACAAATGTCTAGTGAAAGAGTAGAGTTTGTACCACACTGTGCTTAAACTTCCAGGTAAGACAAGTTACAAGCTCTGACTAGACTTGGTCATCAGAGTAGTTACCAGAATTGTCTGCTAAGTCATCAGAGTAGTTATCAGAATTGTTTTTAATTAATAAGTTATACATTTGCCTATAGGAATAAAATTATGTGTGTCATTGGGTATATCTTGATTGATAATAGTGTCTTCAAGGAGTTAACTGCTTTAAATTATTAACCAAAGTAGAGTTTGTTGAACTCAATACAAATTTGAAAGGAATAGCTTGAAAAAAAAAATTAAGGATTTCCCCCCATAAACACAGAAATTACATAAACAGTTTGTAAGACTTTTCTAGACCAATGAATTTTAGATAGCCAGAGAGCGATAAGCCAATAGGCCATTTCACAGTAGTGCCAGGGAAAGTTTAGGTTGTTTTTTAGTGTATCTGTGTGTGTTTGTCTGTCCAGTTAACTTCTTCAACTCCTGATATTTTCATTATTCATTGTCCCGTAGATACGAAATGTGGAAACAAATCAGTGTTTAGATAACATGGCCAGAAAAGAGAATGAAAAAGTTGGAATTTTTAATTGCCATGGTATGGGGGGTAATCAGGTGAGTATCTCAGTAAACTCTTAAAAGGGATATTTTCAGATTTGTTTTTACTTTGCCTTTTGTATCCCATTACATTGTTCAGGAAATATTTTCCTTCCTTTAAGGGAAAATAATAAAGACTTTTAGGTGAAGGAAGCTTTCAGTCCAGTGATTTTTTTTTTTAAATGAAACATTTGTGAAAGACCCATTGTAAGAACTGTATTTACATTGCTGAGCACAAAATTTATTTTTCCCTTTTTATTCAAATAGATGACAACCCTTGACAATACATTCAGTGTATAGAGAGCTCAAGGTCATTTTTGCTTTACTTTTTAAGCAAGAAGATTAGTAACATAACGTCAGTGTAAATTAGTGATAGCTTTCCTGAATCACTTTGTCCTTCATTACTTGAATAAAGTACAGAAATCATGTACCTTGAAGTACTTACATTTTCCCTGACAGATAATTGGGTATCTAAAATGCTGACTAATTTCATTTTTTGTTTATATGCGTGCATTTTTATTTCCAGGTTTTCTCTTACACTGCCAACAAAGAAATTAGAACAGATGACCTTTGCTTGGATGTCTCCAAACTTAATGGCCCAGTTACAATGCTCAAATGCCACCACCTAAAAGGCAACCAACTGTGGGAGTATGACCCAGTGGTAAGTTATGCAGTTGCCTATAGGAATAAAATTATGTGTGTCACTGGGTATATTTGTATACTTTATAGCTAAAGGAATTAATTCTTGGGGACTTCGAATATGGATCAAACTTTTCTTATACATTAAATATTGATAGGTAGGAAAAATAAGTAAAATAAACATGTTTTAATATCCCTAATAATTAAATTTTAGTCTTACAAAACTATAGTTGCCTCCAATCCCTGAGACCTTGTTTACTGAGTAGCCACTGTTCCTTCTGTATGTCTTCAAATTCTATAGTCTAGCTTGGAAGAAAGGAGGCAGAAAGCAGGCTTTTAAAATTACTTAATTAGGCCAGGCGCAGTGGCTCATGCCTGTAATCCCAGCACTTTGGGAGGCCGAGGCGGGTGGATCACGAGGTCAAGAGATCGAGACCATCCTGGTCAAGATAGTGAAACCCCGTCTCTACTAAAACTACAAAAAATTAGCTGGGCATGGTGGCACGTGCCTGTAATCCCAGCTGCTCAGGAGGCTGAAGCAGGAGAATTGCCTGAACCCAGGAGGAGGAGGTTGCGGTGAGCCGAGATCACGCCATTGCACTCCAGCCTGGGTAACGAGTGAAACTCCTTCTCAAAAAAAAAAAAAAAAAATTACTTAATTAAACACTTAAGTGAAAGGTAAGTTTTAATTAATGAAGTTCTTTGGCTTGTGATGATTTCTTAGTGACATATGTAATAGAAGCTTTCATATTTATCTTTCCTTTTGTCTAGAACCTTTTTCTCCAATAGGCTAACATGGAGGTACTTAAAAGCATGTGTGGTAAACCTCCTTCCACCTATCTGCCTAATTTTTTAACTTGGGCTTTTGCCTTGTCATTCTGGAACTAGCACCAACATAATTTAATCTCTCTCTCTCTGGTTCTTTTTAATTTGGCTTACCTTCTTTAAGGCATTTAGTGCCACTAAGCAGATGATTTTTTTTTTTTTTTTTGAGACAGGATCTTGCTCTGTCACCCAGGCTGCAGTGCAGTGCTGCAATTATAGCTTACACAACCTCCACCTCCCAGGTTCAAGCTATCCTCCCGACTCAGCCTCCAGCTATCCTCCCGCCTCAGCCTCTAGAAGAGCTGGGACCACAGGCATATACCATCATGCCCAGCTAATTTTTGTAATTTTGTGGAGACGGAGTTTCACTGTTGTCCAGGCTGGGCTTGAACTCTTGGACTCAAGCGATCCACCCACCTCAGCCTCCCAAAGCGCTGGGATTACAGGCATGGGTCATGCCTGGCCTGATATTTTTTCTTTTTCTTTTTTTTTGAGATGAAGCCTTGCTCTTGTTGCCCAGGCTGGAGTGCAGTGGCACAATCTCTGCTACTGCAACTTCCACCTCCCAGGTTCAAGCTATTCTCCTGCCTCAACCTCTTGAGTAGCTGGGATTATAGGCGTCTGCCACCATGCCTGACTCATTTTTGTACTTTTAGTAGAGACGATGTTTCACCATGTTGGGCAGGCTGATCTCAAACTCCTGACCTCAGGTAATCCGCCTGCCTCGGCCTCCCAAAGTGATAGGATTACAGGCATGAGCCATTGCACCCGGCCTGGCCTGATATCCTCTTATCCCTTCACCATAAGATGCACTACTGTTTAGGTTCTTCTCTTAGTTTGCTTTCTGTTCCTTTTGTTGGCTAGGCTCTCCTTCTTCATCCTTAAATGGAGATGTTGTACAAAGTTATGATATTAGCTGTCTTTCCTCCCTATACTGTGTCATACACCAACCATGTTCTACTTTAATCATCAATATGCTGTTCCACGAACATACCCTGTACTTTCCAAGTTTATATCTAACCTCTTCCCTCTGACAAACCTTACCCATTCTTAAGAACCCAGCTTTGACATCACTTCTATGAATCCTAGCCTGAAATTAATAACTCTGTCAATCCTAATTAAGTAATCTCTGACCTCTATAAATCTGTACTTCTTTATAGTTATTTATCTAGCAGTCTTTTCTCCCCTATTAGATTGTTAGATCCTAGAGGACAGAGATCATCTTTTATAAATCCTGGCTCTTTCACAATATCAGACTATAGAAAAAGTAATATTACCTATAATAATAGCTTGGTTGACATGGCCATTGGAAATGGCCTGAATGTTCTGTTTCAGGGTTTCCCATGGTATGTGCTACTGCCATTTTGTGTGTGACTGCCACATGCATTGCAGGGTGTGTAGCATCTCTGGCTCCAGATGGTATGTGTGAGTGGCACCCCATAGCCATTGTGACAACCACAACATTTTTAAAATGAAAAAGCCACTTACATTTAAGTTCATTGGAAAATGAAAGTATATTAACTCGGCAATATTTATTAAAATCTATTTATTACAGCTAAAACAAATAGGGATTTATTTTTATTACGTAAGTCTAGAGGTAAGTAAATTCAGTGGCATAGTGATTATAACATTGTTGTAATATTCTTAGCTTTTCCTTGTGGCCACAAAATGGCTGCTACAGCTCTATCATATCCCAACTCCAAGCAGAAAGAAAAGGGAAAGGAGAATGATACACTACCACATGTGTTGCTCTTTATTAGCAAAGCAAAAGCTTTTTCTGGAACCCCATTAGCAGGCTATACCTATGTCTTATGGACCAGAACTTCATCCCATAGTGACCCCCAGCTGCAGAGGAAGCTGGGAAAGCAGGTTTTGGTTTTCTGGTCGTTAGAGTGTGAGATAGTCAAGAGATACATGGATTGGGAAGGACTGTTTGCTAGCCAGCCTACACACACTACCACAACAGTATTCCAAAAGTAAATGTTTGATAAGACAGGTAAGAAGCTGGAGATCGTTTAGAGAATTTAGAAAGAACCAGTTACAAGTGTAAAGTTTTAAAACTTCTAGATAACTTTGCAAGGTTTTTTCCCTCTGAGATAAAACATTAATGCCACAGGTTGATTTCTCCCAGAAGCAGACTACAAGATAAAGTTGAACATTCAGGATGTTTATTAGGGAGCACTTTTTGGGTTAAAACCTGTTAAAGGAGTACATTTTTCTCCCTGGGCAGAGGGAGAAGTTGAAATGCGTTGCAGCTCCAACAGCCTGAGTAGACTGCAGGGGAAGCACTGGAGGGGAACAGCCCATCAGAATCGTCCTGCCTCCATCCATTGAAAACTTAACAGTATAGAAAAATATCAGAATACTTAAGTCAGTAATCTGTAATCTAAACCCAAAATCATGAACACTCAGATTTCAAAGGATCCTAGAAATTAAACCCAGGATACTTTTTATACAAGTAGAAATTGAAGCTCAGAATGGAAATTAATTGACCAAGGTCCCAGAGCAGTAAATACTATGACTAGATCTCAAATCTGTAATTCTTGATTCTTAATCCAGGTTTCTTTGCACAGTACCATGCTATTTTTGATTAATAGTTTTGAGTCTTACTTATATTACATATTATGTAAAATTTATAAGGCACTGGGCTCTTTTGCTTTGACTACTTGTATCTGTCCTTTTTGGAATAAAATGCAGATTTTAGACCTAGTTGCATCTAGAGATTAGGAGGTGGGCAAATTATTTTCTTCTAGGATGCAGGTAGACTTTACTCAATGATTAATTATAGCTTTTATCCTCTTCTTCAAAGAACAGTTAAATGCTTGTCACTTGCTTGTCCTGTTGCCTTAGTCCAGCTCTCTCCGAATGGAAACTAGCTGGTGTTGCCTGAGTCCTCTGAGGAGTACTGTGATGACAGCTCCCTACCCTGCAGGCTTCCAGGCCACAAGACTTTATGTCTGCTGTCAGCAGCCAGAGTTGTATCTGGAACAGGGTTCTCCATCAGAGTCCAGGCCTCTTGGAGGTGCTGCTCACCTCCCAAGTTATGGGGAATTCTGTCTTGATGTTGAACAGTTAAATACTCAGCACAGAGCAATAACCTGTATCTTTGTGATGAGTTTATTTTAATTATTTTAAGTGAAATGCACATTTTTAGAAATTAGGTTGAGAGAGACCGAGTCTCCCAACTAAATTTTTTGTTGTGCTTAGTTGGGGATTTTTTGTTTTTAGTAATAGTGACCATGGGCCTGATGAGGGAGGCCACTGGGATAAGCTTTGGGGGAACTCCTGGAATGTTGGAGAGGTTCTGTTGCTGTGGTCTTTCCTGAGACTGAAGGCACTGGCAGCAGTGTGCCTGCTGAGCTGCAGCACTCTGGCTGCTGGATGTGTCCATGACTGCTCAGGACATTGCTTGGATGTTGTGTTTTCCAATAATAAGCATTACTCTATGAATGCAGATTACCATTGTATGTAAATGTAATTGTACCATTTATCAGGAACACTTTATGTACATTATCTCAGTGTTTCCTTATAAAAACCCAGTGAGGTATTTTTGTCTTCTCTTAAAAGATAAGGAAAATGGGTCTCAAAGAGTTTAAGTTTTTGCTCAGAAGCATATAGTTAGTATGTGACCAATCTGGAAATCAACCCAGGAATGTCTGACGGCAAACCCCTCCTCTCAACTAATAAACTACACAAAGTCTGCATTTTAAAAAAAGAATATCCCACAGCCGTGCTGACTGTCTTCCAGGTTCTAGTCTTACGTTTGCAAGTGTTAAAGATAGAATCCTGAACCTAAAGACAGTGTCGATATTGACACCTGCCAAGGTAGGCTGTCATCTGCCAGGTCCTACTTTGACCACAACACAGAATAATAAATGACTGGAAGCCCAAGTAGTTGTAATCAATTACTAGATTTTGTTTTAAATTCTAATAGGTGCAAAAGAGGCCTCATGGAAATGAAATATTTCAGATAAAAGAACTACATTAAAATAGAGCCATGAGTAAAAGAATCAGATAAATGCGTGTTAAACATTTTACATTTCCTTAATATACATTTGTAGATTAATGCTTAATGCAAATTCCTTTGTACAACTACTTTAAAGTCCTTAACCATGACCAGAGCAAATGATCACAATCATTGGTGTGGGTCATTGTAACTGTCTGTCTGTTAATTCTTACCTGCCCTGCTCTTTCAAAATTATCCTGTTAACATGTTGCAGCATCAAATCTAGAACTTAAATAAGTAGATGAAATATATGGCTATGTCTACTAACCATTTATTAAGAATCTCCTTTGTAGATGAGGCACTATGTGCTTTATCTTCATTATCTGTGTACTCTCCCAAAATCTGCTCAAAATATGTAATGTGATCCTGATTTTTAAAAGGAGAAACTTCAAGTTACCCAGGCTGTGAACTCAACTCCACATTCCTGTGCTTTTCTTTCTGTACCACACCATCTCCTTTAACCACCAGGATAACCTCTGGGTTTGCTATGGACATAGGCATAAGATTAATGATACTAAATCTCAGCTGTCCCAACATTCTTATGATTTTGAGTTATCAGAAAGAACTGAGTTTCTAAAAACTTGAGCTTTGGAATCACAGAATTAGCTTTAACAGCTTTATCACAGAGAAATGAAACAATTTTGAAATAGCTGTTTGAAAATAGGTTGAGAATCCTAAATTAGGAACCACTAATCTGGTCTCTTTTTGTTGTTTAGGAAACTGAAGCACCAAAGAGAAGCTTCTCATAGTGTTACAGAGCTTATGCCAGAATTAGGACTTAGAATATAGGTCATCTTGCTGCAAGTCAAGTGCATCCTATTGGACCCCAGTGTCTTTCCCCCTCCTTCATACCTCTTTATCTATCACCTTCCTTTTCTCCATTGTCTTTTAAATAATGTATATTAGCTGGGCGCAGTGGCTCAAGCCTGTAATCCCAGCACTTTGGGAGGCCGAGGCGGGTGGATCACGAGGTCAAGAGATTGAGACCAACCTGGTCAACATGGTGAAACCCCGTCTCTACTAAAAATACAAAATATTAGCTGGGCATGGTGACGCGTGCCTGTAATCCCAGCTACTCAGGAGGCTGAGGCAGGAGAATTGCCTGAACCTGGGAGGCGGAGGTTGTGGTGAGCTGAGATTGCGCCATTGCGCTCCAGCCTGGGTAACGAGCGAAACTCTGTCACAAAAAAAAAAACAAAACACCTTTTCTACAGAGGAATGTAATAATCACCAAAACTGATGCTTGAGGTGTTTTGTTTTCTTACACTCTCCTATTAAGATTTTTTTCTGTTACTTTCAGAAATTAACCCTACAGCATGTGAACAGTAATCAGTGCCTGGATAAAGCCACAGAAGAGGATAGCCAGGTGCCCAGCATTAGAGACTGCAATGGAAGTCGGTCCCAGCAGTGGCTTCTTCGAAATGTCACCCTGCCAGAAATATTCTGAGACCAAATTTACAAAAAAAAAATAAGGATTGACTGGGCTACCTCAGCATACATTTCTGCCACATTCTTAAGTAGCAAAAAAGGAAAAATGCTTTCCTCCTCTGCAGGATGTAAGGTTTATCAGCCATTAAAACTTAAACTTCTCTAGCTTTTCACTAGCTGTGAACCAGCCTTCCTGTCCACTGACGTGAAACTGCATAGTAATGAGACTGTGCACACTGATGTTTACAAGATTGAAAGAGTCTTTCTCCGAAAATCATGCTAAAGAATATAGAGACAATGAAAAAAATCAACAAAATATGCTTTCTGGAGAACTGTACCTTTTATGGCTTGCTTGCACATCAGTAATTTCTGCTGAATGTGCTGTCGTAATGAAGAGATTTCCAAGTTTTTCTTTCCTGATTAGAACTGGTAGCCAGTATATTAAATATTGATATTGAAATAAATGAACTGGAACCAGATACAGAACCATGAAAAGATTTTTACAACAACAACAAACTATATTAAACAGGGTTTAAAGGAAATTAAAACAGAACTATGAGAAATACAGTTTGTTATAGTATAGTATCAAATTTCTATATAGATTTTATACCTCAGTGGGGAAAAAGAACTGATTCCTATGACATTCATTTTGTTTTCATCTGTGATAGTCATGGATGCTTTTATTTTCCTTGGGGTGCTGAAATTGAGCTGAAAAAAAAAAAAGACTTTGAATATAGTTTTAATTTCTCTCTACAGTTTTTTTTGTTTGGTTTCTGGGCTGAAATTTGGAATTGTAATTTTTAATTATCTTCAGAATTTAACATAATGTCCGGTCTCAACTGAACAAGTTAGATGTTTCAGTTGCTCTTGGGTCAACTGGCTTACAGATTTATGAGTGTACATACACACACACACAAATTTCTTATCACATTTTCAACTTCTTGACCCACCTGATTATGCTTAATACCCAAGATTCATACTACTGTACCACAGATTTGTTTTCTCAGCAATAAACCTTCAGTTCTTGTTTATGATTCCACTTAACAGAAGACCTGCAGAAGTGATTTATTATTTGGGTATTTGGAAATAATATAGTTGATGGTTTTTTGGAAAACCTTTTTCACTCCATACTCAGATATGCTTCATTGTCAAGTGCATATTTAGATTATTGAATTGTAATGTTTATCTGCTTTTTTAAAAAATAAAATTTGACTGAAAATGTTTAATTGGCATTTTTTAATGACTTAGCCAAAGAAGTGCAGCTATTATTCCATATTAATAGGCCTGCATTTCTTTTCTAAATTTTATTGGGCTAAATCAGTTTTGTTTTTCTGGTTTTTAATACCACAGAATCACCTGTGTGTCAATTAAAAGTTGTCAATTAAAAAGTAATCTTGTGATCTCATAGAAGGAATCTCATTAAGACATTTTTCCTGATATGTAGACCAATCTGTTGGCAAAAATGCATATATTTTCTTTTGTATCTGTAAAATTATATTTAATGGAATTCTTTTCTTTGATTATCAAGGACTTTCACTGCAGGCAGTGCTATTTCTTGTGCCTAAGAACGTTTCCGAAAGTCACATTGTTAATTATACTTGCCAAGTTGAGTGTACAGTTTCTCATATCCTGTTCAAGTTAATCAACATCAAGCACATGGGGATGCTTTAGGGTGAGGCTATAGTACAAAATGCATAAACCACGTCCCCAGGAAATTTGAAAGGAAGCAGGTGCTGGATAGAATTTTTTTTTCCTTTTCCATGAGCTGTGTTAATTCTATCTCCAGTAGGCCTAATGCTTGAATAAGCAAGATGTCTAATCAATAAATTATTTTCATGCTCAGAATTTCAGGTTTTTGTACTCCAGCATTGCTTGGTCTTATTTCTTACTGTATGAAAGCCTAACAGCAATGTGATTTAAGGTTTTGTTTTGTTTTGTAAGTGGGGGATGTAAGTGATTTAATTCATGGGTACTTTTAGAACCTGACAGATAATCCTATTGCCTTTATTTTTCTAATTAAAGAATTCCTAAGTACTTTGAAAATACAAAATATTCCTGAATAGTTGTGACTTACATTGGTTTTATTTTAAGTTAGAGTGGATCCTGGTTTATCATAATTATTTGTAATTAGGCAGATGCTTATCACTGTATTATAAATCAAATTGGGAAGAAAAGAATGAAAAAACAATGGCTGGGTATTGACTCATACCTGTAACTCCAGCATTTTGGGAAGCTGAGACTGTAGGACCACTTGAGGCCAGGAGTTTGAGGTTGCAGTGAGCTATAATGGTGCCACTACACTCCAGTCTGGGCAACAGAGAAGAGACCATGTCTCTTAAAAAAAAAAAGAAAAAGAAAATGAAGGATGAAAAAAATGGGATTATTATTTAACCAGTGAAGAATTCATAAATGTGACAATTAAGGATAATGTGAATCTCTTCAAATCTATTCACCCCACCACAGTCCCAGTCTTTTTTTTAATATGTCTCTCTGTCCTAATTGGCATTCTTGAGAAATAGTGATGCCGCTGAACATCGGGAATATTCATCTATTCTGCAGATGGAAGACATCATGTAGGCCATGTCCTCATTGCCCCCATTCTACCTTTAGCTGGAAAACAGAGGTTTCCAAAGAAATTTGATGTTCTTCTCATCCTCCAGGAAGTATATCAAGAGCAGATTTGCCTGTTCTTCAAAGGAAAAAGAAACTTAGAAGACGGTGTTTCTGAGGTCATAACTGTGAGAGGTTGTACACAAAGAATGATTACCTTTTTAGGCCATTTGGAAAATTAGATCTGTTTCTAATTAGATGACATTTTCTCCATTCTCTGATTTCTTGAAGATTGCCAAGCATTTGCTTGATAATCTACCAGAACTGATACTTTTGCAGAATATCAGACAAATATATGAAATTCAGTTGTGTATCTATACCCTAGCAACAAACACTTGAAAATTCAACATTAAAATATGCCATTTATACTGGCATCAAAGAAGTCAAACTTCTAATTAGGAAGAACGTTAACAAAAGATATGCAAGACCTTTATTCCGAAAACTACAAAATAGTGCTGGAAAAATTATAGAGCACCACAATAAAAGATATTCTATGCTCATGGGTTGAAAGACTGCATAATGGTAAGATGTCAGTTCCCCACAAATTGATATCTAAATTCAATGAAATAAAAATCCCATGAGGCTGTCTTGTAGAAATTGGCAAATGTATATATGAAAATGCAACAGACCCAAAATAGCCAAGATAATTCTGAAGAAGAAAAACAAAACTGGAGTACTTACAATACCCAATGTCAAGACTTGCTCTAAAGCTACAATAGTTAAGAGAGTATGGTACTAGAATTAGAATAAACAAATAGCTTAATAGACAAGTCCAGAAATAGACCCACATGTATATGGTTATTGGATTTTCAACAAAAACACCAAGCTGAATTAAATAGAAAAAGGAAAGATTTTTCAATTGGAGCTGAAGCAACTGGATGTCTGGGAAAAAACAATGTTGATGTCTTCATACTGTGCACGATTTGTTCAAAGTGGATTATAGAACTAAATGTGAATGGCAAAACAATAAATCTTGTAAAAGGAAACACTATCTTCTGACACTGGGGTAGGCAAAGATAGCTGAAGATATATATGAAGGTTAAATATAAAAACTGACAGATTTTATCAAAATTAGATACTTCTCATTAAAAAGATACTTTTAAAGTGAAAAGGCAAACCACGGCCCAGGAGAAAATATTCACAATACACAGAACTAACAAAGGAAAGCAAAGAAGAGAAGAGTTTAAAACCATTGTAACAGCAACCCAATTTAACAATGAGTGACTTGAATACACACTTGAGAGAAGCTCTCCAGATGCATGAGTAGCATAGGAAATGGCACTCAATGTCAGCCATCGGGGAATGTAGAATGAAACCACAAGAAGATACCACCACATACCCACCAAATGGTGAGAATATGGAAAAACTGATAGGAGTCTCAGTTTGCCAGTTGCTTATAATGGTAAACATAATGCCTACCCGTGACTCTGATTCCACTTCTAAAGATCTACCCAAGAGAAATGAGGGTGTGTTTTTATAGTAAAGCTTGTACAAGAATAGCAATTTTATTTTTATAGTATCATCAAACTGAAAACTACCCAAATATCTGTCACCACATTAATAGATAATCAAGTAATAGTATATTTATACATTGGATACTAATCTGCAATTGAAAGAATAGGCTGGGCTTAGTGGCTAAAACCTGTTATCCCAACCATTTGAGAGGCCAAAGCAGGATGGTCATTTGAGCCCAGGAGTTCAAGACCATCCTAGGCAAGATGGCAAGATACCGTGTCTACAGAAAACTTTAAAAATCAGCTGGGTATGGCAGTATACACCTGTAGTTCCACCTACTCAGGAGGCTAAAGTGGGAGGATCCCTTGAGGCCAAAAGTTCAAGGCTACAGTGAGCTGTGATCACGCCACTGCACTCCAGCCAGAGTGACAGAGATACTGTCTCTAAAAATAATGAGGTACTGGTAAAACAATATAGATAAATCTTAAAAATATTGTTGAATAAAAGAAGCTAGAAATACTTTTGAGTTTATATGAAACTCAAAAACAGACAAAACAAATATGGAATGGTTATCTCTGGGGATAAGTATAGTCTGGAGAAGAGCATAGAACTTTCTGGAATAATGGAATGGTCTATATCTCAACTGCAATAGTGGTAACCTATACATATATATGTATGTGTATATTTTTAAAAATATATTGAACTGTATACTTGGGATATATGCATTTTACTGTATGTAAAATGTGCCTCAATAAAGTGCTGGGGAAAGGGATGAAGGTATTAACCCCGCTGGCATGAAGGCTTTCTGAAAAGCCCTGCACTGCTACAAAACAGCCAAAGGCTGAATAAGTTACTGCAAATATACTTTTAAGTGGAATGCTGAGATCACCAGAAAATATGAAAAATTCATAAGGGCCAGACTGGTAAACATGAACTTGGACGATAATCATAACTATTAAATATGAAAGCCCTTCCTCTTCTAAGAACAAAACATAATGCCTGCAGTTTGGGGAATGGGAGCTTAGGCCTGAACGAAGTTGGGAAATTAAACCAAAGATCTGGCTGGACACAGTGGCTCACACTTGTAATCCCAGCACTTTGGGAGGCTGAGGTAGGTGGATCACCTAAGGTCAGGAGGTTGAGACCAGATTGGCTAACATAGTGAAACCCCATCTCTACTAAAAATACAAAAATTAGCTGGGTGTGGTAGCACACACCATAATCCCAGCTACTCAGGAGTCTGAGACAGGAGAACAGCTTGAACCCAGGAGGCAGAGGTTGCAGTGAACCAAAATCGTGCCATTGCACTCCAGCCAGAGTGATATAGAGTGAGACTCCATCTCAAAGACATCAATAAACCAAAGATCCCTGCATCTTGAAGTTGGGATATTAATAGGTGTTAACACCTACAACTGAAGGGTGGATAGGGAAGTCAGCCTTCTTGAAAAGAAATCTGACTGACTCTGCCCCTTTTCTGGTTAGTGAATGAGATGATGGTGCCACCTCTAATCATAGGTCTCCTTTCATATAGATCAGGGATTTAATGTCACATTCTTGAAGTCTGTCGATCAAGAAAATAATTAGATTTACCACTTCCCAAAAACGATTAGAATAAAATAAATCTTTGCAGGATGCAGTGGCTCACACCTTTAATCCCAGCACTTTGGGAGGCGAAGGTGAATGTATCACTTGAGGCCAGGAGTTTGAGACCAGCCTGGCTAACATGGCAAAATCCCATCTCTACTAAAAATTACAAAAATTATCTGGGTGTGTTGGTGTCCACCTGTAGTCCTAGCTACATGAGAGGCTGAGGCATGAGAATTACTTGAATCTGGAGATGGAGGTTGCAGTGAGCCAAGATCACGACACTGCACTCCAGCCTGGGCAAAAGAGCAAGACATCATCTAAAAAAAAAAAAAAATTTATATATATATATATATATATATATATATATATATATATATATATATATAAAGTTTTTTGGAAAACTATCAATCCTGACCCCCATACTCCTAAATTCAGATATGAAATTATTATCAAAAAGAGGAAGCCATCATGCATGAATATTAACAGAAGTTAATTCTATCTTCTGGCAATCTAAGACTAGCTTGTATCAGACTAAAGCTTAGTAACAATAATTTTGAACAAAATATTATTTAAAGAATGATGGCCCAGGCAAGTGAACAGAAACTGTAGGGGATTTGACCCCTATTAAGGATTTCACTGGGTAAGATCTCAGCTTTTCCCCTAGAAAGCCTCCACCATGTACTGAGCACACTGGAGGTAGATACAGTTCATGTAGATGGTGATAATTATATTAGACTGAGGGGTCAAGAGATCTTATTTGAGAGCAAACAGAGGCTGGAAATTGGGGAAGGAAATCCTAGACCACAGGGAGTTGGAGAAAGAAGCCCCCAAATCTACATACAAACTTTCCACAGATGGTTGGCTGATTAAATTGTGTGCTCAGGATGAAACTCCAAGAAGCTCAAAGAAAAACAACCACCGAAAAGCAGAAAGATCTGAGCAGCTGTCTCAGCAGTTGCCCAGCACCACAGAGGTCGAAGTTCAAATCTGAAGGGGCTTGATAAACACTGTCAGCTTTAAGTTGAAATCCAAGAAGGGCATGTGTAGAAATAAAGACCATTTCTAAGACCTTAGAGCTATTTCTAAAGCCAACTACAAAATGGAAATCGACCACATCTAACAAAGTGTCTATTTTATTGACTATTTTCAAAAAACATTTTAAAAAGCAGACCCACTGGTGATACAGATGTTGGAATTGGCAGACAAATTCTTCAAAATAAGTATCGGTGTTTTAAAAATGTATACAGAGAAATGTAAATATAATAAGTAAAACCATGGGAAGTTTCAGAAGAGGTCTGGAAAGTAGGGGGGAAATCCTAAAACCAAAAAGTATCTAAAATCAAAAACTAATTGAATGGGATTTACAGCAAATTGGACACACACGAGAAGGGATCAGTGAACTTGAGCACA